TTTTTTTTTTTTCCATTTTATTTTCATTGTGAACGAATTAATTATTAAAACACTGTCCAATCACAAAGCGTCGCGTCGGTAAGTGTTCGAATTTGACAAATGGAGGGGAATAAATAATAGAATAAGAAACTAATATCACTATTGTAACAATTATTATTTTTCTTACTCTTTTCAGAAGGAATTAATTATTGATCTGTATTAAAATTTTGTATTAGAGAAAAAATATCGTGTAATATTTGAAGACAAAATTGAGTCACAAAGAGAGTCAAAAGAGAGTCACAAACTATCACTTCTTTATCGACCATGCTCTCTCTTATTTTGGCTCAGAGATTTTAAATAAAAATTCTTTAGATTTTGTTGTATCATATCTTTGAATAGAAAGAAAAAAAATGATTTGCTTCTTAATCAAATTATTTAATTTTCACTATTTAGAATAAAAGAGATATTCTCTTAAATTTTTTAAATTTAACTATTAGATATAACATTTTATCGTTAAGTTAAAAAATATATGTTTTAATACATGTAAAATTTCATATTCGATATTCATTTTTCTTTTTTTGTTCTTCCCCTCTTTATAATCCTTCAGATTTTTCGATAAAATAAGGTGGCAATTATTTATTCGCCAACCTGAATGCATATAAAACTGGATTTAATATAATCATGTATAATCGATCAATTAAATTAATTTAATTATTTTTAAAATGATTTAATTGTATTTATAAGCTTCCAATTATATTTTTTAGACTAACTAATTAGCGATCACAAAATTGAACACACGTAGATACATGAATATAGATATATTGTGATTTTACGTAATGTCTGTAGAGTATTGTTTGTTTTTTCAAATCTGTTGAAAAGAAATTATGCTATTCACGTAATTAGGTGCATGCTTCCATGCGTAACATGCCACAGATTTCCATTATTTTGTTTTCATAATGAAAGTGAAATAGTCATCAATGTTTTGGTTAAATTATCTTTTAAATCAATGATATTTTATTTTTTTTTGTTTTTTTACGTCCATAAATTACATTTAATATTAATGAATATTTATATAGAATATTTATATAGAGATTTCTGAGATAATCTCAAGCAATATTTTCCTTTGCAAAAACTTTCGTGTCAATTTTGTTAACGAGTTAACAAAAAAAAAAAAAAGTGACCAATCACAGAGCACGTAATTTAGTCGAGCCGTGATGGTAGTGTTGGTTATGTACCGCCGATCGAGCACAAACAAATCCAAGCAACACATGTTGAAGAAAATGTGTCGAATATTATGTATTTATTTGTTGTTCGTGATATAATTCGATGTAATTTTTTATAGATAAAAAAATATTTGTTAGATTCCACACACATTTTTCCATATATGTTGCTTGGATTTGTTTGTGTTTGGTCGATGACATAACCAATGCTACCGATTATGCAGTCCGTAAATGGCCAATATTTTTTCTTAATAACTCGTTAAAAAAAATTCTAATGAAAGTTTTTACAAAGGAAAATATTGCTTGAAATTACCTTAATAATCAGTTAATAAATGTTCTGTATATATATATATATATATATATATAATTATTTTTATATAATAAATTTATATAATAATTTCTTTCAAAAAATATTTACAAATACATTATTTAATGCGATACGACATTTCAACCATTAATAATTTATTATTTTTAATCGAAATAAAATTTAGTCAAATTAAAACTTTGAAAGTGAGTGAAGAGAGGGAATTTTACGGGGGAGATGGAAAGAGAAACTCGTTGTATAGTTGCTACCTGTATCCTTAAAATATTAAGTTTAGTGTGAAAGTGCAAAGAAACGTGTTTGACTGACAAACCTCAGATAAGTAAAATTGAGTAAGTAAGACAATGAAATTTTTTTTATAAAAATCATATCATTGTTTGCATTGAGAGCTATCAAAATTGTGATAGTTGTACATTGTTATATAAAACATGTATCATATATGTATAGATATATTTATAAATTTGCATAATATTTTTTTATGATCTATAAACTTATGGAGAAAAATAAATATATTCGTATTAAAATATAAAAATTGAAAATGCAAAAATGTCGATTGATACAGTTCTATCTGTATTCCAGCAATCATTTATAATTAATAAATTATGACATTTTTGTATACATCAATTTTCATTTCATCTTCAGAATATCTCAAAATTATTCCAATATAACATTCTATTAAATAGATAAAAGTTATTTGAAATATATCTCATGATTAATAATGATATTTATCATTTAAAATTATTTTGATCTATAAATGAAGATAGATATATATTAGCTACATAGTAAGACAATAACAAGTTGCAGTTAACCTTGAGTCATGCTTGGAGAGGCAAATGTACAACCAAAACAAGTGATTATCTTTTATTTGCTTGAGTGCAGCCTTTTTGAATACCTGTTTGTACCATAAACCATTGTTCCTCAATTGATGTCACAACATATAAATGTATCGCGAAAATAAATATTGTATTTTTTAATACATTCATCAAATCAATTTAACATTAAAATCGAAGGAATTCAATATCCAATGACAGATATTTTATTTATTTATTCGAATATAAATATAAAAAATAATTATAAGTTGAAATGCCAAAAAAAAAAAGATATCATTTTTCATAATTTTTTGGAAAATCCATGGCACATGTCAATCATAGAATAAAAACTTCTCATGACACATATGTATTAATATATAAATATTAACATATATGTTAACACAATATTTCAATTCAGTTAGATATTTTTTAGGAAAAAATATTAATTTATGAGATATTTAATAATTGTTTCTAATACTTTATTATTAAATTACAAAAATTCAAAAATAATTATTTTCTATCATTGCAAAATCCACAAGTTACGATAATTCGTTGTTTCACATCTTGCTTCGTTTCAGTTATTTATATATCCTTCGTCATTGCTAGCCAATGTAATAAATGATCAATTTAATCAATCAGAAAATTATACTCCTGTGAATCATCAGAATTGTGATCAGAAATATAGAGATAAAAAAAAATGTTTGATACTTTTTTTATTTATATTGTTATTATATTAAATATTATAAATATAAAACCAATCATTTATTTATAATCCTTACAATCATCTTATTTAAAATCATTTATTTATATCCAAGTTTTAGAAATTTTAGAAATATTCCGTATCACGTATGTTACATAAACAGACAATATATCATTGCATATCAAAATAAGATATATACACATCTATTATCATCTAATGATGTAAAATTATGTGCAAATACGGAATAATACGAATACCCAACCTTGGCACGAAACTAAAAAAAAGAACAAAATTTAAAACGTTCTCAAGACAAATAATTGATACTGAACAAAATTAAACAAAATTATATTTTTATTAACTCAGAGATACCAACAATAGATTTATAAGTGTTAGATAAAAATGAATTTTCACAATTTTTTAATTCAATTCATTCGTCCCATATGTAACTAACTATGACTCCTTAATTTAACTGCAACAAAAATTAAATTATTATTTAATTTATTATTATATATATTATTTATTTATATATATATTAAATAATATATATATATATATAATTATTTTCAATTGTTTGAAAAACGAAATAGATTAAAAAAAAAAGAAAAAAAAAATTTTTTTACAGAATCATGATAGGACCGGATAAAATAGCGCAGCTGATACTATTCGTGACGTCTTTGGCGGAGACTCGAACGATCTTAGACATACTTTACAGTTACAAACTACCGAATAATATTTTGAACAGAGAGGAGGCAGGCAATGGGAAATACGATTTTATTATAGTTGGTGCCGGATCCGGTGGATCTGTCTTGGCAAATCGGTTGTCCGAGAACAAAGGATGGAATATCCTCGTGTTGGAAGCTGGAAATACCGAGAATTTATTGATGCAGGTCCCATCTTTGTCGGTGTTGATGCAATTCTCACCCTTTAATTGGGGCTACAAGGTGGAACCCCAGGAAAATGCCTGTTTAGGCATGATCGATCGACAATGCGCTTGGCCACGGGGAAAAGTCGTAGGTGGGAGCAGCTCGATCAATTATATGATCCATACACGGGGAAATAAATTGGATTATGATCGTTGGGCTGCGTTGGGGAACGAGGGTTGGTCTTATCGGGAGGTGCTGCCTTATTTCAAGAAGAGCGAGAGATTCAACGTTCCAGGTTAGAAAAATTGCTATTACATAACGTATATATATAAGAAAACTTCGAAGGAAAGGTTAATGAGTTTACGAAACATCGGTACAAAGTTCGGTTAATTTATTTAACCTCGAGTCTTGAATTTTCAAGCACAGCTTTATAGAAGCTTAAGCTTTATATCCATGTTAAACCTTTTACCGTTGAGCGTTCAAGCTTCGAGTAATAATAATTAACAGTACGTAGCTAAAAGTGAAACAGGCAGTGCTAATATTATTTGTATCCCGAGATAAAAAATTAAAGACAGAAAGAATTTCCAATGAAATTATATAATTAAATAAAAAAAAAAAAAAAAGAAACTTAAATTAAAAAAAATATTGCATTATGAATATATTTAGAAAAAAAGTCTGAATTTTTTATTAGAAATCTCTTCGTTAAAATCTTACGCAAGAAATGAAAGATTTCTTTTTCCTAAGAAAAAAAAAAAAAAAAATATTTTACCTTTCGAAAGCAAAAATGAATATTATCCGTGTGAGAAATCTCGCTTGAATGTCACAACATGTTCGCCAAAATTAAAAACTTCGCACGTATACTGTGAGCAGAATAATTAAGCGGCATATTCATGTCCAGGCATCGAGAACAGCTCCTATCACGGTTACGACGGCCATTTGTGCGTCGAGCATTCCTCGTACCACTCGGAAATAGGGAAAGCCTTCCTGGAAGCGGGTGAAGAGTTTGGTTACAAGACAATCGATTACAACGGCGAGGAGCAAATCGGTTTCTCCTTCATCCAAGCGAATCTGGACGCTGGGGTTAGGTGTAGCGCCGCAAAGGCGTACTTACAAGCGAACAGGCCGAACCTGAACATCGTGACCCGAGCAAAAGTGACGAAACTTTTGATGGACGGGAAACGAGTTCACGGTGTCGTGTACGTGAAGAACAAACGTTGGAAGAAAGTATTCGCCACGAAAGAGGTGATCCTCTCGGCCGGCACCATAGACACACCTAAACTGTTAATGCTGTCGGGTATAGGGCCTAGGGAACATTTGGAGAAATTGGGTATCAAAGTGGTCCAAGACTCGAAAGTGGGTTACAACGTGTACGATCACTTGGGTTTCTTGGGTATTTCGTTCACGGTGAAGAACGTGGTCACGCAATCGATCAGGAACGCGTTCAAATCTGAGGTACTATTGGAATACGTTTTGAACAGGAACGGTTTCTTATCGTCGATCGGAGGGCCAGAGGCGATAGCTTTCGTCCGAACCAAGTACGCGACCGACAGCAGGCCCGATCTAGAGTTGTTGTTCATCTCAGGAAGTTTGAACTCGGACGGTGGAACTTTGAGCGAGGCGATGAGGGTGAGGAAGGAGGTGCACGAGGCCGTGTACGAGTCGTTGGGGGACAACGAGACGTGGACGATCTGGCCGATCGTGCAGCATCCCAGAAGCGTTGGAAGGATCAGTTTGAAATCCAAGAACCCGTTCGATCCGCCCAGGTTGGAGCCAAACTTTTTCTCGGATCCGCTCGACGTGGAAGTTATCTTGGAAGGGGTTAAAATCGCTATGAATATATCGAATTCGAAAGCGTTTCGAAGATACGAGAGCACGTTGCACGATGGGGTTGTACCGGGTTGTAGGATATTCGAATTTGGAAGTGACGATTATTGGAGGTGCGCCATCAGACACTTGCCATCTATGATGAATCACGAGATAGGCTCGGTTAAGATGGGACCCAGAAGTGATCCCGACGCTGTGGTGGATCCACAGTTGAGAGTGTACGGTGTTCGGGGATTGAGAGTGGTGGACGCGTCTATAATGCCGGCTATACCCGTTGGACACGTGAATGCGGGTATTTATATGATAGGCGAGAAAGCGGCTGATATGATTAAACAAGAGTGGCAAATGGGATATGAGAATTAGAATCATACGTTTGAATTAAATTCTGATGCAGGAAAAAAGTGAAAGGTCGATTATAATTGGATTAGGATTTGGAAGAATCAAATTTTTGTGAATATTTTATATGTATTTTATATTAATTCTTACTATAATTGAAGAGTTGTATCAAAATTATAAATGATTGTAGTTGAAAGTAATAATTTTAATTTTTCATTCATTCAATGTTCCTCGATGTTCAAATTATTTTAATTGTAAATTTATTATATTATCTTTATGATTATTTTGTTACATTGTCTTGTAAAGATACAAATAACAAAAAGTGAGATTACAATAAAAAAAATGATGCAAGTGAATATATTTATTGAGTGAATTTAATGAAAAAATATTGGAACAAATTGATCGAAAAATACGATTAGTTATATCTATTTACGTATTTTTATACAATGTCAGAATATGATAACATTAGACTATTTTTTTCAATGATAGTATCTACTTCTTTTACATTACATTTTTAATTTATTAGTTTTTCTTTCATTTATCATGTTCCATAAATAATATATTACATAATTTTTCTTTTAAAGTAATTTCATTTTAATTGCAAATAGAAATTACAGGAAAACGAATAATCACTGAATAAAAGATGAAACATTAATCATTTCGATGATAAATAATATGACTCGGGAAAATAATATTTTTATCGACATATTGCAAAAAAAAGAAAAATATTTCAATTTTCATATTTCTATTTTATAAGAACAAATGACAATACGTTATAAATTATTTTTAACAAAATCACTTTAGCTCGAATATTAAATTGATTTAATAAAATATTATTTTATATAATGTTAATAAAAAAATAATAATTGAAATATGTCTGAAAATAAATAGTAAACTATATATAATTCTATTTTACACAATGAATAAAAAGAAATATATATATAAAATATTTTATCTTCTATAAATTAAAATAATCATAAATATTAAAAAAAAAATTCCATATCAAACCATCAAAGAAGTTAAATAAGTTTGAATTATTAAGAAAAAAATAACTCCATTTTAACACGATAGAAGATAACAAATAATTTGCATGCGATAATATGTCATGCAACAATCAGATGACCTACATACTTGTTCATTTCCAATAAAAGCGAGTTCTACGTGGAATAGTATCAACGAGTTCATCAATGATACGAGGAAAATATAGGAGAATGATTCATATTTCTTCGTTTAATATACTTTCGCGAAATATTAGAGAAAAATGAATAATCATTAATTTTATTCACAATATTCTCAACTAACTTGTATTTATGAAAAGAAAAATATTTATGAAATTGTAAGAAAATAAAGAAATTATAATAAATAAAAAAAATAAACGTAATTCATGAAATTTTTAAAAAAAATTCTAAAATAAAAAATTCTAAAATAAAAAACTAATAATATATTATTTGTCTTTTCAGAAATAGATATTTGGATTATTAATCTCGTGATCCTATTTCCAATTGCCTGAGTTGAACTAAATAAGTCTTCATGCAAGTTTATTAATTTCACCTTGAGATTATTTAACCTAATTTTATTTCTCCAATATTTAATTTTTCATAAAATTAATGTATTTTGATTTAGAAATTATTGATTTAGATAAACTATAAGTAATTTTAATTATAAATTATCGAAATTTGAAACAATATAGCTATTTATATCAAATAAATGATAAGCTATTCACATTGTATCAAATAAGTGATAAATTATATTTATACAAACTAATATTTATACAAAAAATATCAAGCTTCAAGATCAAGCTTACGTCAAAATTATGGATATTTTTTATATATAAATATCAGTATTTTATAATACAATATCATAATCGATCAGAATAAATGCAATGACATAACCTTAAAAAATGGTCTTGAAAACGAAACAAAGTTAAAATTAAAACAATGTAAAAATAAAACAAGACAAGAGAAATAATCTAATCAGTTTATTTTATCAGATATTCATATATAAAAGTTGATAATAAATTTTAAAATAACCTCTAAAACAACTTTGAGGGATTTTTTTTATCATTCTATGCCTCGAAAATATCATTTAAATCATTTTGAGTCATTCTTTATGTTTAATAGTAACAATAATTTAAATATTCGATTTAAGTAAAATATTTAAGTAAAGTATTTTATATATTCATATCAAACATAAAAGATATGATACTAAAGGTCAGTATTCTGTCAAATGAATAATAAAATTAATTGTCCAATTAATTTCACAAATGCATAAATTTTATGTACAAATCACATCAAAGTATCAATCTTAGATAAATCAAATAAGAGTTAATATTATTTTACCTATAACCAATAACAGAAGCTTTCAAAAAGAATCAAGCATGGCAGCTCTAGGTTAATATATTGCAACGCTTGATTAAACCACGAAAAATACCTATTTTTTTATTTATCTACATACCTGATACAACGAGAGCTTCGTTTGGACCACAAGTATGAACGTTTCCCATTGTCAGTTTAACTTTTTCTTAATGAAGATAAAACAACAAACCGGCACAAGCAAACAACTAGCACTAACACGATTATCACTGACACTAATCTATACAATAAATAGGCAGTGATGAAATATCTATTATTTCAAAAACCCCGGTATATTATTAATAACATGCAACAACCTGTATTACTCGCGCGTCGTAAGGTTACGATGTTACTCAAAGCCACTACCCAAAATTATTTGTAGCTTTTGCAAAACCCTAGCTTGTAGCAGTACCAACCTATAATCTTATACACGTAGCGACATCTTTTTATATTATAAAATTTATTTCAAAATTAAAGTTAATTTATTTTATAGAATTTTTTGACAAATAATCAGATAATAATAATTTTACTGAAATTATAATGAATGTATTTATATAATATTTGAAACATTATTACTTGTATATTATTAATAGTTACAATAAATGACAAACTATTTTATCGTACGATAAATGCATTTCAATAACTTCTCATTTCGTATAAAAAATTATTAAAAACTTAAAAGATGACATATTCCTATAATTTTAAACTATTTTTCTTTTGAAATAGTTACATAATTATATTTTTCTTTAATATAATACCTTTTTTATGTAAGATATAAAAAAAAGATTCCTTTTTTTATAAGAATAAATTTTTTTTCATTAAAAAATAATTGGAACATAAACAAAAATTATATGATGTATTGTAGCATATTTTTAGGAATAATTTTTAATGTTTTACTACATATAATGGTAGTATTGCTCAGATACAATCAAATGAATGCAGTTCAATTTTGTGAGAACGCAGCATAACATAACCTCTTAAGTTCTACTGTTGTTTTGATCTTGATTCTTATATGGAATTTAGAATGTAATAGATTTGATAAAATAACAATTATAAAGACTTTGTTTTAAATACAATATTAATAAACATTGACAAAATGTCAGAAGACGAAGTGGAAAGTTTTGAAATCACAGATTACGATCTTGAAAATGAATTCAATATTAATCGCCCTAGGCGTAAATTGTCAAAAAAACAACAAATGCTTGGTAAATATTTTATTTTAATATTATTATATTAAATATTATATTTGTTTAAAATATTATTAAAACAATTTTTTTTTTATTGTAATGAGTTGCAAAATCTAACCAAAATATTATTTTAGGTATTTGGGCTGATGATAGCGATGAAGAAGAATTATCTGCTAGACCATCATTTAAAACTTTTGATAAAGGACCAAAGAATTATACAACTCCTGTAAATTTTGTAGCAGGAGGTATTCAACAAGCTGGGAAACCAAAAGAAGAAACAGATGATAAAGATGATGATGAAAGTGATAATGAAAATATAAAATCACAAAAGGAATTTCCAAATAGTTCAAGGTACATTTTAAATTAAAATATTAAAATTTTTATTTATTTAATAATACATAATATATTAATATTATAAATAATAAACTATATTTTTGTTTATAGTTCTGATGATGAAAGACCCAATTCTATACATCAACGTGCATCATTCTCATTAAATACAGATGGAGATATTGCAGGTTTACGTAAAAAGAAGCATAAAGTAAATCCTTTATTAATGCAAAGTGGAATGGGTAGTTGGGAAGTTTATACAAAAGGTATTGGAGCTAAATTGTTGCTACAGGTATATATTAAATGGTAATAATTTTATTAATACTATTGTACAAGTATGTTTATATTTATTAATATGATGATAATTTAGATGGGTTTTGAACCTGGAAAAGGATTAGGTAAACAATTACAAGGTATAAGTACACCAGTAGAAGCACATTTAAGAAAAGGCAGAGGTGCAATTGGTGCTTATGGACCAGAAAAAGGTCCAAAAGTTCCAGAAAAGAAAAAAGAAGATGAAATAGATGAAGGAAAAGAATCAAAAACTAAATTATCACAATGGAGAAAAGATGGAGGTACTGTTAAGAAAAAAGTAAATTATGTATATCGAAGCGTAGACCAAGTTTTGGAGGATGGAAAATTGAAACCTAACAAAAAAGTAAGAATATCCAATGAAATGAGTAAAGTTAAAGTTATAGATATGACTGGACCAGAACAAAGAATTCTTAGTGGATATCATGCGATAGCTGGAGGTCAACAACGACCTGATGAAAATGTTGTTACTGATAAAAAATCTAAAGTTAATTTTGCATTGCCTGAACTACAACATAATTTAAATATACTTGTGGACATGTGTGAACAAGATATTATACAAAATGATAGAAGAACACGACATCTGAGTGATAGGGTTGTTGCACTAGAAGCAGAAAAGAAAAATTTGTCTAAAGTTATAGATCAACATAGTCAGTTAATAGATACATTAGAAAATGTTCTTGCAATTGTAGACAGATTGATGGATGAAACCAATCAATTAACATTACAAGAAACTGCAGATGCTTTCAAAGATTTACAAGATAAATATTATGAAGAATATAAAATGTATGAACTTGGTGAATTAGCTAGTAGTTTTGTTGGTCCAAAAGTAAAAGATTGTTTAATTAGTTGGAATCCATTAATGCAACCAAAACAACCAATTA